CAGGAGTGGTGGGCAGGGGTCCGCAGGAATCGGAAAAGTTTGCTTTCAGCGCCACGATCATTTTATCGGCAGGACCATCTAAAGAAATGGACGATCTTTTTGGTGTACTCCAGAACTTCTTGAGTGGATGTTCGGCCAGGCTTCTGTCATGTCCAGAGGGCCTTAGAATCGCTAAGTGATTGGCCAGCGACAGGTGGACAGCCCGTGTATCGGTCGGCCCACGCACTGCTGAACAGCTTCCAATAGTCCCCCAGATGACGATGGAAAAAGCAAAACTTAGAAGCAGTCTTCACGAAAAGGTACCAAGGGTAACCTAACTTGGTTGTTCACTTTCTGAAAGATATACATCAGCTCACAGTTTGAGCTATGAGTGGTCTATACCCTTCAGAAAGTGTATAACCTGAGTTAGGTTACCCAAGGTGCCCTTTCCTGCGGATTACTTTGAGGTTTTGTTTTTCCGATCAATAGTTGAAGAAATATTGGAAGCTGTTTAACAGTGAGTGGACCTGGCGAGAGTCACAGGCCGTCCATCTGCCTTTGGCCGATCACCTAGTGATTCTGCAGCCGTCTAGATATGATGGAAATATGGCCGTGCATCCACTTAGGAGTTCTCGCTACGGCAAGATCGTCTGGTTTTATTGATGGTCATGATAATAAAATGGCGTGCTGGGGTCACGTAGCGCGGAGGATTCCCACTATGCGTGAGGTTCCAATGTCACGGCATATGTTGTCGGATGTTCGTACGCGATATTTTGAATGTATATTTACGAGCGTCTCGCATATTGTAACATCCACAGAGACGTTGGACATCATACAAAGTTAACGGTAATGAATACTGAATGGGTTCAGGACGGCGATAAATGGGGATTAGCAGCGCCGCAAACGCAGCGAGGTCGTGCACATCTGCGTTTGTTGCGAGCAGTTTGTGGTGCTGAAAAGATAATTGCAACTTCAAGAAGGGGACCACAGTGAGGTGAAGGGCCAACTGTTGGCTCAAGCCACTCATTAACTCGTTTTCTCGACGACGACGGGGTAACCAGGCTGCATACGTCGGAGGCAATAGAATTGCGCAACATGCCCTCAATTGTCATTGTTGCGATCGGCAGGGAGCCCCCTATGATAAAACACATTCCCCGCTCTAATAGTTGCGGTGTGAATTTCAATCAGCAAGGTTTTCGATCAGCGGCGACGCCGAACGAGGTTGTTTTCTTCGGGAATTCGCGCAAAATGTTGCGCAAGGATCTTTACCGTAGTCGCCCTTCCTATGGGAAAACCATAGCTATAGGAAGGATTGGAAGGGCTAAAAGAAAGCGGATATATTTTGATATATTTTTCGGTTGTAGTAGCTCCTATTCCAGCCGCAGTGGATGATGAGAGCTCTAGACTGATTAGCTTTACCTAGGCGTCCATCCCCTCCTCTTCCGTAGTTGTGTGATCCTTGTACGGTCTACGAGCCTTGAAAAGCCCCATGCCCGTTGTGGCTGGTCGAGAAAAAGTGGGTTCTCTGGAAAGCGACGTTCAGCAGCAAAGGAAGAGTCGCCCATTCTTCTCTACCGAGAATCTGGATGACTGTAACCATAAGAATGCTAAGTTGAGGCAGTCTTTGCCTTGGCCAGAGCACTTGACTCACACACTTGTTTTCCGGAAAGCAAGAGGTTCTGGTTTTAGGAGCATCATGCTTTCCGGAGGGCAAGTGTGGGTCAAGAATCCTGGCTGAGG